ATAGTTTATGAAATGGATTATGCGATTAACAAATTCTATAAACTAATATTTAAATCGTAATTTAATTAAACGTAATTGATTGCGACAAATATTATTCATCTAACACATAAATCGCGTACAATATGTAATCTCGGATTGAAAATCGCACGAACTTTTTTAATTCTAATGCAATGTATATGATTTGTATGAATACATTTAAGAAGCAATGTTTGTATGAATTTGTCGCGCACCTTTTTTATACTCGTTGCTTCTTAAAATTTCTAATAATACAGAATTACTAAAATAATTAACAGTGGTATAACATATTTTATTATTATAAAATTCAATAAAATTTATTTCAATATAACTGAACACGCCTTGTGACAGACTGCGTGCAGTATTAGATATTTCAAAGTCTTAACCCTAGCACTATTAATAACAGTTAGTAAATAATCGACATGAAGTCGATTAGACATTTATTACAGGGTGTGTGTTCTTTTTCGCTTCTAAGTGAATACTGTAATTGTGAAAGTTTCCCTATTTGTAACCATCGAAGGATGTCGTTCCTTACAATAACGCATGTTGTCATATTTTCATTGAATAAAATATTTTCAATAATTGGTAAATGGAAGATCGTATTTCTTATAAAGTCTTACTTATTTTACACTGCATAAAATATTAATGGTACGAGATAATATAGCGATAAGGCCAATTTATAAAATATTCAAATATTTTTTAACAATAAGTTAACTGTCAGTATGAGTACCGACTACAAGTGCACGATAATTATATGCATCAACCATATGCGCAATATCATCACATATGGCGTAAACTGATTTTCTCTCTCTCTCTCTCTCTCTCTCTCTCTCTCTCTCTCTCTCTCTCTCTCTCTCTCTCTCAGAAATTCTTTTTTTTACTCTATGCTGAAACCAAAATTAGTGCTTGTGTGTGAAATCAAAACATGCATTTCATTACATTGTGTAAAACGTATATACACAATATGTGTCTGTTTGCGCCACTATTCTTCCAGTTAAAGTAATTTTAGAACAAAGAATAAGGTTGAAATAAATACGTAATAAGAAGCTTTAGTATTACTAATTTATGAAAAACTACGTAATTATGTCCAAGTACACTTTAATTATTCATATTTTATTTTTGAAGTACGTTAAATGCCGAGTATGACGTTTTTAAAATCTGAAAAAAAAAATTTTAGAAAACGTTAATGTATAGAATATTGTGTAGTTATTAACAAATTCGCTTATTTTGTGACTTGCGCCATAAACATTGATAACATTGAATAGAAATTTTATCACCAAAGTATTTATATATATCACAACAATACTACTAACATTGCTGTAAGACTGAAGAGATAGAGTTATCAAGAAGCTGCTAGTGAATTTTATAGGAATTGTACTTCGTATCATAACTATGAGTAATTCTTTTTTTTCGTTAACTGATAATAATGGCCAGTCCATACAATATATAGCGTCTCCTATGCTTATACTCTGCCAATATACATATACATATATATATATATACACACACACACACACACACACAACATAAATGAAAATATCACTTTGCAATAATATTGAATCTATTAATAATTTATTAATACTACTGGTATTATGTGCATATTAAAAATATTCTTAAATTTTATTAACTTTTGATGTACACTTGGGAAAAAATGATATATACATGGATATATTTTATATATAATTTTATATAATTTAATATGATTATATATAATATAATTATATATAATTATATATGAAACATTTTTTCCTGGATATTAATGAATGAAATCTAAATTCTTTGTAACTGAAAAGACTATTAATGCGCATGTTAATAAGATTTAAGTTATGCATACGCCGCATATATAATACTATTATATAATGTATTCAGAACATGATATAATCAAAACATTCCTATTTCCGCCCATTTATTATTCTCAGAATATCCTCAGGATATCATTCATGATATCCTGAGAATATACTCCGAATATGCAATTGTTAATATATTTTATATTTTATAGTACATCCTAACAATATCCTATGTATATTCCTAGAACATTATGGACGACATTCTGTATTATCTAAATTTACATTTAACATATCGGTGTCATTTTTTCAGCATATTCATGACATAATGCAAGATATAACAAGCGACTGATCACGAAAAAAGAGGACTTGAAACACAATTTCAGAAAATCCATGGAAAATTGAGACGATGTGATTTTTAGTGCCATCGCGGGAAAAGTTAGAAGTATTGACTGTCACGTGGTCACACGTATGTATGTATTAGCACCGATGGGATACTATTAAAGACCGTCAACCCTGGACAAATTTTCAACGGTATAAAAAGGGCCCCAAGGGCCCGGAGATAATTGAAGAACATTAACATTATCGACAATTGATATAAATTTGCTATTATTAACATAAATATTTGACTTATATATTATTAAATTCATGATTTTTTATTACATAAATATTCCATAAATAAATATGCATTCTTGTAAAGCTGTATCCTATATATTGTAAAAAAATTACAATTTTTTTCTCTGCAGTTATCATCTCTGTTGGTAATCAAACTTTGATGATAACATTGAAATCACAATTTTAAAGAAAAATCAAGTATTATGAGTTCTAAATGCATAACTAAGTCTATTAAACTAATAAATCATAAAATAAGTATAATATTATCAGTTTTTAATTCTTAATCACTTTAATATTCAAGGACGCGAACTCCCATAAGGATGTCGGTCTTTAATAATATCTTGTCGGTGATATTAGATACAAATATTACTGTTTGCTCCAAGACAGAAGTCCCTTAAAAATTGCAGCGCAAAAATTGAAACTGTGAATATGAAAACGCAAAAAAAATAGCGAATAAATTCTGTGTATTTGATTTTTCAAATCGATTGTTATTAACATGTGGTTGTTATAATAGCTAAGTAGACGTGTCGACTTATGTCATCAAATGGAAAGCACCCATAGACTATTTTCAAATTAATAAGTATAATTAAGTATAAGTTATAGGATTTTTTTTTTTCAAAATTTTATATAACAAATTGATTTATAGAGAAATATATATGTGACATTTTTTTATTACATTACTAATATATATCAGTTTGTATTTACTGTTTATAAAGTATCGATAGTTACCTTAAGAATGACTTCGTTTCCACACCAGCAATAAATATAGATTTGTATAAACATGCCAATGGTATACACTAAAAAAGTTGCAGTACCAGACAATTCTGTAATATGTATTGACAGATAATACACGCTTGTACATAATACCAGTATGCTTGCAAAGAATTGAACGAAAAGCACCTGGTTAAATATGACGTTTACCGTTTTGGCGTATCTATAATTGTTTCATGTTAGTCTTGCATTGCTGTATGAATAAGGTAGTTATACTATCTTCATACATAATTTTTTAATATGATTCCTATTCAAATCCAAAAATTGTAAAAAAATTTTTTCGTATGTATATCATTTACTAGAACAAAAGTTATTTAATTGTGCTAGCATTAAGACAGAAATTTTTGTTCTACACAATTTGATACAGAATTATCATATAATAAAGTAACGTTGAGAGTACTCCGTTTTCGAGATCATACCAGTTGTCTATTAATTTCAACTAACGTTAGTTATTTATAATGTTTTTTAAATTAAAACATCTCTTCGTTATAAACGTCAATGATTATCGTTTTATTAAACATTAATAATTTTTAAATATAAAAAATAAATAACATTTACGCATGCAATCACACGCTCACATACATATAAAGAGGCATTTGAGCATATGCATAAAAATTCTTACGTGACTTACTTGTAAATGCTGAGATGATGGCGTATGCACTCTGATATCCCTGTTTTGTTTTTATTAGACGAAGAGAATGTACTTTCCAGAAACCTAATTGTTCTATTAATCATTAATTTTTGAAGACGACTTTCGAAAATTTTAAGCTGGGCACACGTATGTAAAATCAATCCAAAGATTAATGTATCTGTGCCAATATTTATCATGGCGGAAAAAATTACAGTTATAATTTGATGAACAGATATAGCCCAAAACATCGTAGATACATTGTAATTATATGGCAGCCATATTCGATAGGGCAGATGACCTTGCATAATGTTTAATACTGATCCTATTGTAGTGCCTGTAACGGAGCTTGTTGCTAAAAGTGAATATTTTATTGAACACGATCTGTAATTATAAAATTAAGATTATTTTTAATATATTTTATATATTTACAATTTGGATTTACAATTTATTTTTTCTTTTAATTTGCATAAGTTTACAATGACAGAATGTAACTATTATCATTGTGTGCATATTTGTGCGTACGTATATTATTTTAAAATATTTGCAGAATATTCACTTTAAGAGTCTTTGAATTAAACAAAATATAAAATCACATTTCTAAATATAGCAATGATAACTGTAAGATGTAACGTCAAAATTCAATAAATAGAAGACTTTTTGGCAAATGCTAAAATTCTCATATTTACCAATACTAATTGAATCCTTTGGTGGAAGATCAAATATGTTTCATATATAATAATACGTAAACTAAATTCTTGTAATGAAATTTTGTTCGAGTTTTACTATAGAATCTTTTTAATAATGGTCCTCTTGTATTCAGAACGTGCTTACAACGATGTTATCGCGCTAACATATTATAATTTACATCACGCATACTATAGAATTTTAGAGATAAAAGTACGCTTTTATTGATAAAAGCGCGTTCTGAATACGGGTTTATAAGTATCTACCTGATAAACATATCATATTTTGATTGTATTGCCACTTCGTCCTCGTCACAAGGTTTACACGGTGTTTTCATCAATACTTGCATCAAGTTCGTGATTGCATTTCGACGTACCACAACAACAGTCGCTTTACAACATACAGCAACAATAGTTAGGAACATTAGAGTATTAGTGGCAAAATCGTCGATATTATCGACAATAAGTACTATATCCATAAATTGAGTTAACACCAAAAAGTATTCCGAGAATATTACAATAAAGGTAAATACGTTATACATCAGTTTTGCGCCGTTTGATGACCACTTATTAGGTCGCCATATACCACAAAGACTATGTATTAAAAAATTTAGAGAAAGTATTTGCATATTTGTACCTCTCCCTTTACCTGTAACTTATCGATGAGCATAAAAGTATGGACTCTTTCTGTATGTAAAATATCTAAAAAAAAGTCGTTTAAAAAAATCACTACAAAAAATATTTTTTTTCAATTGCTAAATTAAATATCCGCGCGATAAAATATACACATGTATGGTAATTATAAGAAAAATTAAGTTTAATGTAGAAAACAGTATAATATAATATTTTATGAAATAAATTTATGTAATTAATTTTCACAAACCGTTTAAATCATTTAATACTGAATGTAAACGTCTCCGGTAAATTTTATTTACTTAACACATCATGTTACAATTTTGTATATAATATTATCTCGAATTATGAATCTCATTTAATTGTAATGCAATGCATCGTCATACGAATAAAACTAGAAAATATTATGAGCATTTACCGCGCACCTCTTTTGGAACTTTCTCTCAATTCTGACTACTAATACAATAGAATTAACAAATGTTTCAGACAAATATTACATAAAGTGCATTCACTGTTGTGATGATCAATAATATTCATTTAAATATAACCGAGCACGTCTTGCGACAGACTATGTATAGTTTTACGTACTTCAACTTCTTCACCCTAGTACCATTAATAACAGTCATTAAAAAATCGACATAAAGTCAATTAGACATTTATTGCAGGGTATACGTTCTTTTCCGCTTATGAGTGAATAATATAATTATAGAAGTTTTCCTTCTTGCAACCATCGAGAGACGTTGTTCTTTATAACCACGCACATTGCAGTTATGTTCCCATCGAATAAAATATTTGTATATCTTCATGTTCAGCAGAAGATCGTATGCCTCGTAAAGGCTTACTTTATTATATGAAGTAAGAAATAATATGCGATATCGGCATTATATATCTTTAATCCTTTGAGGATCGAAGTTTTCTAAAGCAAAAATTTTATGAAAAATTTCGTTTTTTAAGAATTTTTGAGATCGCTGAATTCGATTCTGGCAACAGAATTCTAAAATTTAAATTTCAAAAAAGTAATCTAATTATTGTTAAACTTGGTTTTAAAAGGTTTTTTCTTGATATCACTGAATTTGAGTGTAGCTTGAAAATGTTGATTTTTATAGGATAATAACTTGCATGAAGGACTTTAAGGTCAGTATTCATTGTCTATTCTTATTTCAAGATCATCTTAAGTAATGTTTTAAGATGCTAATATATGGTCCTCTAATTTATTCGACATCTTAAAACGGTCTTGAATATATGAATCAACTATGAATACTTTTTTATGACTCATAATAAAAGTTTGAAGATTTGTAATTCAGAATCAGTATTATCTGTTTGCATATATATTGATGAGCTTCAAATAAAGCGAAATTGATGTTACTTAGTGCAATAAAAAGTTTTCTAAAACTAAATTTTATGCTGATTAAATTATTTAAGAAAATTCTGTCTGGCGCATTCAATTCATTTTGAATTTTTTTTAAACCTTATATTTGAATAAAACAGTGTTAAATTAGTCCATAAGCCGAATTTTATAAACATTGAGTGAGCAGTTACAAAATAAAGAAGAATTTTGCTGGTCCACAAAAGATTGAATACTATATTTTCTAAATTGACTTATTCGAACATATGCTGATTACAGCAAAAGTACGCGATAACTATTATACCTATGCCTAATATATCGTATATCGCCTAATATATATGGCATAAATTGGGCAATGTATTTTTCTTAACTACGCTCAAGTCAAAATTAGCCGGTTGAATTAAAACATGCATTTCACTAAAGTACATGTACTCAATATGCGTACATTGAATGTTTTAAGGTCGTCACAAAGTGTAAGGTTGAAATAAATAAACAGAAATTTTTTAATTTTACTAATTTATGAAAAACTACATAATTATTATTTCCTAGAAAACTTTTAATTATTCATATTTTACTTCTGAAGTATGTTAAATGCCGAGTATGACAGTTTTAATATCTAAAACGAAAATTAGAGAAAATGTTTATATAGATTATTGCTGTTATTATGCTAGTTATTAAAAATTTCTACGGTGCAGTTTTCTGATATTACTTTACAAGTAAATGCGTTATTGCTAATATCGCATACAGATATCTATTTCGTTAACAAAACTACTCATAATACCACAATATTACTGACACTGCTGTAAGATTGAAGGGAGACGGTTATCAAGAAGCTGCTTGTGAACTTTATAGGAATTGTGCTCCGTACCATGACCATGAGCAATTGTTTCTTTTCGTTAACTGATAATAGTGGCCAATCCATACAATATACAGCGTCTCCTATACTCATACTCTGTTAACGTAACATAAATGAAATAATTATTTTGCAATACGAATATCAATATTTACTAATTATTAGTATTATATATATAAATATCTGCATATATCTATAAATAATTTGTATTTACGTTACGGACAAAGTCCGCAAGTTGGCAATGCTGACATTGTACAATAGGTAGAACTCGTACAATGTCAACACTGCTCACTATGCGGACTTTGCCCGTAACATATATGTACATCTATATAGACCAGTTCTAAATCTACCAAGTAAGTCACCAGAATTATTATCTTTTGAAATTTTGTAACAAATTGAAATGTAAAATATTCACGACAATTTCGCGACAGTTTTCTTTATGTCATTAACAATAAGATATACGATTAGTTTGTAGAGTATTGTTACCTTAAGAATGACTTCGTTTCCGGACCAGCAATAAATATAAATTTGTACAAACATGCCAATAGTGTACACTAAAAAAGGCAGAATACCAGAGAAATCTCTAATATGTATTGACAGATAATACACGCTTGTACATAATACCAGTATGCTTGCAAAGAATTGAACGAAGAGCACCTGGTTGAATATAACATTTACCGTTTTGGCGTATCTATTAATTGTTTTATATTAGTCTTACATCAATTGCTATATGATTAAGGTAATTATATTATCTCGGCATACAATTTTATAACATGATTCCCATACAAATTTAAAAATTGTAAAAAAGATTTTAATATACATCGTTTACTGTAACAAAAGCTATATTTGTCTTGAGCAATTTAGACTAATTTATAATTTCGCAACTTAACACAGAATCATCATCTAATAAAATAATGTGTAAATTGAGAGTGCTCCGTTTCCGGGATCAGTTGTTTAATAATTTCAAGTAATGTTGGTTACTTACATTTTTTTTTTAGTTTAAACTTTTCATCATAAACGTCAACGATTACCATTATATTAGACAATAACAATTTTTAGATATTTAAATACAGAAAATAAATAACGTATACACATGCAATTACACGCGCACATATACTCGTATATAATAGAGGCATTTGAACATATGCATAGAAATTCTTACTTGTAAATGCTGAGATGGTGGCGTATGCATTCCGATATCTCTGTTTTATCCTTATTTAACGAAGAGACTGCATTTCCCAGATAATTAATTGATTTATTAATCACTAATTTGTGAAGACGACTTTCGAAAATTTCAAACTGGGCACACGTATGTAAAAACAATCCAAGAACTAAAATATCCGTGCTGACATTTATCATAGTGGCAAAAATTAAAGTTACAATCTGATGGATGGATATAGTCCAAAATGCCAAGGGTATAGTGTGATTAAATGGCAACCATATTCGATAAGGAAGATAACCTTGCATGATATTCACTACTGATCCTATTGTAACGCCTGTAAGAGAGCTCATCGACAAAAGCATGTATTTTATCAAACACGATCTATAAAAGTGAAACAAAATTGTAAACTTTTATATAGTTACGATTAAGATTAAAACTCATTTGTATTTTTAATTTGAATAAATATATAATGACAATTTATTCTCTATGCGTATGTGAATGTGTGACTGTTTTAAAATAATGTTTGGAGAAATGTACTTTATAAAAAGTTTTTCTTAATTAAGCAAAATGTAAATATTTATTACATTTTTAAATGTAACAATGATAATTTTAAAACGTAATATCGTCAAAATTCAACACTAAGTAAAAGACTTTCTGGCTGAAGTTCTAAAACATACGTTGTACAACGTGTTAATTGAATCCTTTGTTCCGTATATCAGTACGCCAATTAAATTCTTACGATGTACTTTATACGAGTTATACTAATATTTCACTGTAAGATCTTTCTAATTATACTTTTTTACCTGATGAATATATCAAATTTTGTTTTTATTGCTATTTCATCCTCGTCACGAGGTTTACACGGTGTCTCCATCAATAATTGTATCAAATTGTTGATCGCATTCCGACGTATCACAACGATAGTAGCTTTACAACATACGGCAACAATAGTTAGAAACATTAGAGTATTAGTGGCAAAATCGTCGATGTTATCGACAATAAGAACTATATCCAAAAATTGGGTTACCACCAAAAAGTACTCCGAGAATATTACCATAAAGGTAAATACATTATACAGCAGTTTTGCACCATTTGACGACCACTCATTAGGTCGCCACATACCACAAAGGTTATATATTAAAAAATTTAGAGAAAGTATTTGCATATTTTGACCTCTTTTTTACCTTCTTCTTTACGGATAATTTATTGATACGTACAAAAGTATAGCCTTTTTTTCTATGTAAAATATCTAAAAGAAAATTTGAAATATTGCGAAAAATATTTTTTAATTAAGATGTACTAAATTAAATATCCGAATATCCATACGTAAACATATAAAATATATAAGATCCATACGTAAAATGATCCGTATACATATGTATAAGAAAAATTAAATTTAGTGTAGGAGGCAATATAATATTTTATAAAATATTCTGAATTTATGTAATTAATTTTCACAAACTTTGTACTTACTACTGAATCGTACTTACTACTGAATATTTACTTAATACTAAACATTTGCGATAAATCGCATTACAATATTATTTTGTGTATAATTTTATCGTGAATTATGAATCACGAACGATCTCAGTTAATAGTCACTGTAATGCAATGTATCATTCATATGAATACAATTAGAAAGCCTTATAAACATTATCGTGCACCTCTTTCGGAATATCGTTTCTTATAATTCTAGCTACCATTACAACAGAATTAAATAGCAGGAAAATTTTTTACTGTTGTAACAATCAATAAAATTTATTTAAATGTAACCGAGCACGTCTTGCAACAGACTATGTATAGTTTTATGTATTTTAACTTCTTAACCCTAGTACCACTAATAACAGTCATTAAAAAATCGACATAAAGTCGATTAGACATTTATTACGTGTATATTCTTTTCCGCTCTTGAATATATACTATAATTGTATAAATTTCCTACTTGCAACCATCGATGGATGTCTTTTATAACCCTGCACATTGTTATGTTCTCATTGAATAAAATATTTGTATGTCTTCATGTTTATCAGAATTGAGTGAAAGATCGTATGTCTCGCAAAGCCTTATTTGTTATATGAAATAAGAGATAATGTGCGATGTGGGCATTGTATATCTTTAATTCTTTAAGTAGAAGATCGTATTTATTGCAAAAAGTCTTACGTTATAAAATGGCAAAACAAGTACGATAAAGATAATACATAGTATAGTATTTCCTAAATTAACTACAATTATATGTCGAGTATAACAAGTATATAGAATAACTGTGTATTAATCTTATGTACACCACATGTGTGGCATAGATTAGAGAAATTATTCTGTTTGGCTGTAATGTCAAAGTCAAAATTGTTGTATAATACTGCTAGTATATTAAACCTAATTATTGCATTACATTATGCAGTGTGCAAAACATACATATTCATTGTGTGTGCACTTGTATGTTGAATTGCATTTTTATTTTTTATTTTACACACAGATATCTATTTTGGAATCATTTTCTTTTCAATTATACTTACATGTTACGATACTATATTAAATTTAGAATATTGATATAATATGGATTGATAT